GTGTGTGTGTGTGTGTGTGTGTGTGTGTGTGTGTGTGTGTGTGTGTGTGCACGTGCAGCCTGCTTCTGGAATCAGGCCAGGAGGGGGGCACTTGAGCCTGTCTTCCCTTCCTGCATCTACACCAATCTGAGAAGGAGAGGCACACAGGAATTGAGAAGTGCGTAGGAATCCCGTTAGAATGCCCGTGCTCAGGTGGTGCTTTGGTACCCAGGAGCAATGATCACCACTGTCCCAGGCATCGGTCTCCTGCTCAGCAGAGTTTCAGTCACATAATTCATTATCTGATATAGAACATCATATGACTACCCAGGAACTTCATCTTCTCTGTGTGGCATGAATTCTAATTGATCTTAATAAATAAAACCTGGAGTCAGATATTAGCGAGGGAAAGCTGACGGATCAGAGAAGCCACTAGAGAGATATTTTACCTCTACCAGTGCTCAGACAGAAGGGGCAATCCTGTCCCCGGACTGTCTTCTCAGACTTCATCCTCAGTCTGCACTGAGCTCCTGTTTCCTCCCGTCTCATTTTCCTCTCTGTGCCCTTTCTGTCTCTACATCTCTAGTGCTGGCATTAAATTTAAATCTTTGAAAAAAGAAATTGAAGAAGATACAGAAAATGGAAAGATTTCCCATGCTCTTGGGTAGGTAGAATTAACATAGTAAAAATGGCAATCTTACCAAAAGCAATCTACAGATTCAATGCAAGGCCCAACAAAATTCTTCACAGACCTCGGAAGAACAATACTCAACTTCATATGGAAAACCAAAAAACCCTAGATAGCCTAAACAGTTCTGTACAATAAAGGAACTTCTGGAGGCATCATAATCCCTGACTTCAAACTGTACTACAGAGCTACAGCCTGGTATTGGCGTAAAAACAGACAGGAAGACCAATGGAACCAAATTGAAGATGCGGACATCAGTCCACCCACACACCTACAGACACCTGATTTTTTTTTACAAAAAAGCAAAAAAAGTATAAAATGGAAAAAAGAAACAATATGCAACAAATGGTGCTGGCATAACTGTATATCAACATGTAGAAGAATGAAAATAGATCCATATCTATCACCATACACAAAACTCAAATCCAAATGGATCAAAGACCTCAACATAAAACAAACCATACTAAACCTCATAGAAGAGAAAGTGGAAAGTATTGACACAGACCACTTCCTAAATATACCCCCAGTAGCACAGACGCTGAGAGAACCAATTAATAAATGGGGCCTCCTAAAACTGAAAAGCTTCTGTAAAGCAAAGGACATGGTCAACACGACAAAATGGCAGCCTACTGGGGACTTCACCAACCCCACATCGGACAGAGCTGATCTCCAAAATACACAAAGAACTTAGGAAATTGGTCATCAAAAGAACAAACAATCCAATAAAGAAAAGTGGGGTATGGACCTAAACAGAGAATTCTCAATAGATGGGTCTAAAATGGTTGAAAGATACTTAAGAAAATGCTCAACATTCTTAGCCATCAGAGAAATGCAAATCAAAACAACTCTGAGATTTCATCTTACACCTGTAAGAATGGCCAAGAACAAAAACACTGATGACAGCTTATGCTAGAGAGGATGTGAGGTAAAGGGAACACTTCTGCATTGCTGGTGGGAGTGCAAACTTGTACAACTGCTTTGGAAATCAGCATAGCGATTTCTCAGAAAATTAGGAATTCTATCTCAAGACCCAATAACACCACTTTTGGATATATATCTAAATGATGCTCAATCATACCACAAGGACATGTGCTCCGTTATGGTCATAGCAGCATTATTTGTGATAATTAAAACCTGGAAACAACCTAAGTGCCTTCCACCAAAGCATGTATAAAGAAGATGTGGTATATTTACATGATGGAATACTACACAGCGGAGAAAAATAATGACATCTTGAAATTTGTGGGCAAATGGATGGATCTCGAAAACACCAAATTGAGTGTGGTAACCCAGACCCAGAAAGACAATTATAATATGTACTCACTCATAAGTGGCTTTTAGACATAAAGCAAAGAAAAACTAGCCTACAGTTCAAAACCCCAGAGAACCTAGACAACAAAGAGGACCCTAAACAAGATATACATGGATCTAATGTACATGGGAAGCAGAAAAAGACAAGATCTACTGAGTAAATTGGGAGCACGGAGATCATAGGAGACGGTAGAAGGTGAGGGGGAAGGAAAAATGGGGAGCAGAGAAAAATATATACATCTTAAACAAATTTAAACAAACAATTTTAAACAAAGCTGTGGGATCCCAAGTGCTGGGATCACCTTTATGTGAACTGTTTCTCCTTTAGACAGAGTCAATCTCACTTAGCCCAGGGTGGCCTTGAACTCACAGAGAAAACTCTGCCTCTGTCTCTTGAGTCCTAGGATTAAAGGTGTGTGTCACCACTCCCTGGCCTCTAGTGGCTTAGATCTGCCCGCTGATCTTCAGGCAAGCGTTATTTGTTAAAACACAAACAAAATCACACTATATCTATAGGACTCATTTTCACTACAACCAGTAAGGGTGTTGGGGGTACGGCTTGCCTAGCCATGTGAGATCCCTGGGTTCCAACCCTGGTACCAAAAGTAAAACAAAATAAAATCAGAAAGATCTCTTGGCCACCTTGTGTTCCTTCTCCTTCCTACTCCTCATTTCCCCAGCAAAGAATCAATAGCTTGTTGTCAATGAGAGGCACATATAGGTGTTTGGATGGGACATGAAGGAAACTCCCTGAACACTTTGAACACGTTTTTATTTTATTTTATTATGTTTGCCCTGGCAGGTGGAAACAATCGGCGATGCTTACATGGTAGTAGGCGGAGTACCAGTGCCTGTTGAGAGCCATGCCCAGAGAGTCGCTAATTTTGCTTTGGGGATGAGAATTTCTGCAGAGGAAGTGATGAATCCTGTCACTGGAGAGCCCATCCAGGTAGGGGGCAAAGGAGCGCTTCATTCGAGACAAAATATAACACATGAGAGTAAAGCTCTGGTCTGCTCGGGTCGACTTGGGGGTATGTGACACCGTTGACATTGCATCTTCTATCCAAAGTCCTTTCTTCTCTTGCTTATGCTCCTAAGCAGGAAAGCATGGGAGAAGGCTCGGCTTTCCCAGGCTCCAGGGTAGGCTGTTTGTTCTGAGATTTTCCTGGGACTCATGGATACTCTTCTTTGTAATAGGACGTGCTGAGGGCTCCTCGTTTGTAATTCCTGCTTTTTTGACTCAAACATTACTTCAGGTGGCTTAGCTTTACCAAGCAGCCAGAGATTTCTGCCTAGGCAAATGCATGCCCACATGCCCCTGATAGCTCAGGGCACAGCTGGGGTGTGTGCCATTACTGATGTGAATGGAGAACTGGAGAATCAACCTTGGAAAATTTGGGGCAGTTTTGGTTTGGTAAAAAAAATTAAATATGTATCTGTTTTTGTGACACTAGGTAGCACCTACAATTTTAAGTATTTTGCCTGAATGGAGTAAAAACATGTTTACAAGTGTATCTCTACAGACTGCTTATAACTGCCATACTTATCACAGCTCCAAACAGGAAATAACCTAAATATCCACAGAGAGGAGAATGGATGAATGGATCATGGTATGTTCTTCCTAGTGGGCAATAAAAATTATGACTGTGGCTATAAGTGCCACTGTGAAGGACTCTGAAACCAGTACAGTCTATTAATGAAACCAGCCTGTCAAACAGCCTATGCTATCTGATTTCTTTCATGTGATGTTCTCGGAGGACAAATTAATCTTTGATAGAAGTAAGAATCAACAATCTCCTCTGGAGGAAGGGTGGAGCTCATGAACAAATAGTCATCTCACGTAGGGTACCAGCAACAGATCAAGTTAGCCATTGAGCCTATGACTGGCTTAGTGAACCAGTGAGGTTATTGGGGTGACTTATAGGAGCTCCAAATTCAGCCAGAACACTTAAGAAGGCCACCCCACACCCCAGCGTTAATGACAACTCATGAAGGCCGCCTCCTTGAACCCTGACCCCAGCACACAGTTTTTCAAGCAGCTTCTGCAAAGAGAGTTTCCCTTCCCTGCTGCTTTACAGCCTTTGGGGCTGGTTATTCATCTTTTCATCTATTTATTTTATATCCCAGCCACAGCCTCCCCCCACACCCTCCTATCCCAGTCTCTCTCCCTCATTCCCCTCTCCAAACTCCCAATCTCCTCCTCTTTAGTCTCTATTCAGGAAAGGGCAGGTCTCCTGTGAGTATCCATACAGCATGGCAAGCTGCAGTAAGACTAAGCACTTCCCCATGTATTAAGGCTGGGCAAGTAGGCAAGTGTGAGAAGTAGGGTCCCAAAAGCCGGTAAAAGTGTGGGAGACAGCCCCGTTCCAGCTGTCAGGAGTCTATAAGAGGCCCAAGCTACACAACTGTCACGTATATGCAGAGTGCCTAGGTCAGTCTCATGCAGGCTCCCTGGTTGTTGGTTCTGTCTCTATGAGCCCCTATGAGCCCAGGTTCTAAGATGGTGTGAGCCCAAGGCATCCTTGATCCCTCTGGCTCCTATTCTCCGTTCGCCTCCTCTGTAAGATTCATGAACTCCACCTGATGTTTGACTGTAGGTCTCTGCATCTGTCTCCATCTGTTGCTGAATGACATCTCTCTGATGTCAATTGGGCCAGGACCAATCTGGTCACAGGAGACAGCCCGTTCAGGCTATTTTTGTACTATTGCTGTGAGTCTAAGCTGGGGTCCTCCTTGTAGACTCCTGGGAGGTTCCCCTGCACCAGGCTTCCACTGGACTCCGAACCCCCCCCCAGCAGTCTCCCTCAGCATTCACCCCCTCCTTGTGTTCCCATCCCCACCGGCCTCAGTCCACTCACGAAATTTCTTCCATGGGGGGGGGGGCTTTTGAACCTCAGAACTTCCTGAGGTTCGCCATCCTCTTATGCTGCATTAGCTTTCTAAGACTTACATACAGTCTTCCCTTCTCCCTCAGGAAGGAGCACTAATTCTCCATGCAGTGGGTTGGGGGGAAGCTAACTAGAAAAGGGCACAAGGTAAGTCTGCAGGGTAATGAACTGTTCTACATTTCGTTTGTGACCTTGGTTGTAGCAACATGTGCGCTTGTCAAACCTCGTGGAGCTAACCACTTCAGTAGGTGCGTTTTCCGTTTAGCTAAACTGTGCCTGCAGCGTAAAGGCAAGAAGATTCAAAGGTTTCTTCTCAGTGATGTTCTCTCTTCGCAGATCAGAGTGGGAATCCACACGGGACCCGTCTTAGCAGGTGTTGTGGGAGACAAGATGCCTCGGTACTGTTTGTTTGGTGACACTGTCAACACAGCCTCTAGGATGGAGAGTCACGGGCTTCCCAGCAAAGTGCATCTGAGCCCCACGGCCTACAGGTTGGCCACCGCTGTCCTCCCAGCTTCCCCAAACCATCTGACTGCCCAGCAGCATAGGCAGGACAGAGGAGAGGTTGATGTTTCTTCTCCCATGCTTTACTGACTTACAGACAGGAAGTGGGGAGGGGCCCCTACCATAACTTGTTTTTTGCTATAACCCCCAGGCCAAATCCAAACTGTCGCCTGGTTTGGGAAATAGTTTTATTGCACAAGAAAGTGGGACTCTGGGGAAATCACCCACTGCTGAGCTGGATGAAGGGGTAACTGTTTTGTTTGTGGTACCCAAAGCAGAAGCTAGAATTCAGTGGTGAGGGCTCTCTGATATAAGACATGCTTTTCTTTACACATTGTCCATGCATGACTGATGTCTCTGTGAGTGGCAGAGCCAGGCAGTCAAGACAGAGACTGTGTGGCTCACAATGCCTGAAACAGTCACTCTCTGGTCTTTCCCAGAAAAATCTTGTCAGCTTGGTCTAGTAGGGGAAGAGAGAAAATTCATAGCCGGTTTTGAAATAGAACACACGAGAAAGTGTGCAGCAAATGGCACTATTTCTCGAGCTGTTAGGATAAGCCACACGTAGATTAGGTTCCTTCATACCGGTCAGCTCCTTCGCTGTTACGCTGCTCCATGAAGAAAAACCACTTTTATTTACACGAAACACCTTTTAAAAATATTCTGGTAAATTTTTTGTTGTTGGTTTTAATTTCCCTGTTTCCTAAAGAGAGAGAGAAAGAAGGTTTGGAGTTGGATGGGTGGGAACAGTTTTGTAGGAGATGAAGGAGGGGAAACCTAATATACTGTAGAAAAAATATTTTCAATAAAAGGAGAGTAAGGGGGAAAATCTGATATTGAGGCATAGAAACAAAAGAAAGGAGAAACAGCTAACAGCTTGCTTCAGCTCCGAGAAGGCCGGGAAGAGCTGGGTGATGCGCAGACTCCACTCTGGCCATTCCACTCCCCCACCAGGAGAACTAGAGCATGGGCTGCGGGAGGTTGGCAAGCGTCCGTGTCCAGAAAGGTTTTATGGAGATGCTCGAGCTGAAACCTGAACAAGGATGTAGAGAAAACTAGGGTGCTGGGGAGTAAAGATCAAATAGTAGGGGAGAAACAAGGTGTGTGGGTCTCCTGTAGCTACTCCTAGACTTTGGTACCCTAATCAGAACACTGGCCCTTCCTGCCTCCCCCCTTCCCCACCGAGTCCCTCACCCTGATGTCCTAACAGGCTCTAGAGGATGTCACCTCAGATCCTCCCTCTTCTGCTGTGGGTCTAGGACTGGTCTGTGATCTTTGGTATTTGGCACATTTTGTTTTTCTCTATATAGAGCCCTGGAAAACAAAGGGTTTGAAATTGTCAAGAGAGGGGAGATCGAAGTGAAAGGGAAAGGCAAAATGACCACGTACTTTCTGATCCAGAACCTGAATGCCACCGAGGACGAGATCATGGGGCGACCTACAGCTCTCACCCATCAGAAAGGTAAGCACATCCACAAGACTTGTCCTCGGTGCCGGGTGTTCCTCACTGAGCTTTGCAGAGGTGTCTAACGTGGCAGCATCCTACCCTCCACGATGCCGCTACCATCCACGTGGCAGCATCCCACCTCCACGATGCTGCTACCATTCACGTGGCAGCATCCCACCCTCCACAATGCTGCTACCATCTATGTGGCAGCATCCCACCCTCCATGATGCTGCTACCATCCACGTGGCAGCATCCCATCCTTCACGATGCTCCTACCATCCATGTGGCAGCATCCTACCCTCCACGATGCTGCTACCATCCAGGCAGTGGATACATGCAATGATCAGCTCAGCAATCTTTTCCTGGACACTCACATCCTGAGGCAAGCTCTCACCTACATCGGTTTCCATGGCACTGTGTATTCAAGTGATGAACTTTGCCACAGATGCTCCTGTGCTAAGAAATTACTCTGAGTGTTTCCTCTGCCTCTTCACCCTAGCAGAGGCTCCTGAGCAGGCTTTCCACACACTAGAACCTTCCAATTGGAAAGAGGGATAAAAATCATAACTCACTAAGTTCGAAGAATGACAAGACAGTGGGACTTTGGGGGAAATGACCTGGTGCTGAATTGGACCAAGGAGCCGCTGTTTTGCTTATGGTACCCAAAACAGAAGCTAAAATCCAACAGTGAGATTCCCGGCACTGCAAAGTAGATTTGATTTATCCCCTGTAGCTGCTGCCCTGATTAAGAGGAAAATGCGGACCTGAGAGGAAATTCTATAGCAGGGGCAATTCCTGTTACCTTTGAAGAAAGCAAGACAAGGAAGTGGTTCCAACAAAGAACTTTAAGATTGACTTTCACGGTCTTTTGTTCTAGCTTCGGTTCAGCTGAACATCCCTGAGAGCTGAGGTTGGTTTAGGCTGTTATCCAGGTGGAGATACTGAGATGGAAGGGTCTGATTAAAAAAAAAAAAAAAAAAAAAAACATACAGGAAACTCTGACTTAAGTTGCCAGGACCAGTGCTCATAGGTCTCCATTTCTAGACTCTGGCACCTTTCCCACAAACAACACCCTTCCCTCCCTCCCTCCCTCCACCCCTCCCTCCCTCCTCTCCCCTCCCATCATGCCATTCTCATAGTACAGAGGATATTTTTGCCTTTCCTCTTCATTGTTGGTGTTTGAAGTAAGTGAAGTGATTGGAGATGGGGTGCCACAGTGGGAGGCACAAGAGCAGGGCAGAAGCTGTCCAGGTCGGACTGAAACTCTGCACAGGTCTGTGCCACTCACCTGCAGAGACACCCAGTGCTTTCCAGGGAGAAACTGGGATTTGTTGACTTAGATATGTAAGCAACTGCCTTTCAGCCTTGACTAAAGGGTTGCCTTTCTAGCTCTGTCTGCTGGCAGGTTCTTCTGGGCAGAGGCCAGCCTCCTCCCTGAGCCCCTTAGTTAGGGGGCAGCATGCAAATAAAGAGCACAGCGCTGTGCAGGGTCTCTCCGCTTTTCACACACTGCCCTTACAATGGCCACTTCCCTCCTAACAGTCTTGGGTTGCCTGCCATAAACCTCTTGGGCTCTAGGTCAAGACATATTTGCTCTTGGGTTGCCCCTGGCCCATGAAGGACAGTGTCAAGGCCTCCAGCAGTAATGAAAAAGCTTGGCGCTCTCAGGAGACATCTGGGAAGGTCCTGCTTCCTAAGGGGCATGGTAACCTCAGGGGGCCTGAGGCATTTTTCCATGGTGGTCATTGCCATCTCTGTACAGTCAGATGGAGTTTCTCAAAGCCAGTGATGGAGGACGGGACAGAGGAACACTGCGTACAACTAAGACTCTTCCCAAACCCATGTCTTTCTTTCCTCACATGTAACCCATGGGACACACATGCTGATTTGGAAGGTGGTGGTAAGGAGGGTGGTGTGTGTGTGTGTGTGCGTGCGTGCATGCACGCATGTGCACGCATGCATGTATGGAGGCCCGAGGTTGGCCTCAGATGTCCTTGCCTTTATATATTGAGGCAGGGTCTCTCACCAGATGTGAAGTTAGGTGTTTCAGAGTCCAGATAGTCATTTTGCTGCAAGATCCTCTGTCTCCACCTCTCGGGCCTTTGTGCTGGGATTACGGAGAAACTGTCAAAGCCACCAACCTTTACAGCTTCTATGGGGCTTCTGGGGATTTAAATCCTAATCCTCTCACTTAAGCAACTTTCCCCACTGAACCATCTTCTAAACCCCAAGGGTTTTCATTAGCAAACAGGCAAAACAAACAAACAAACAAACAAAACCATTGAGTTTGTGTCCTGCATCTCTGCACTGTGGTCCTAGCATAAACGTGAACCCGAGCCCTTTCAAACACGCTCTCTTATCATTCAACTTGCATGGTCCATTTCTGAGAAATTTAATCACTTTTAAAATTATAATTATCAGATGTCCAAGAAACCCAGTAGTTCAATAGACTCCATAATTAAAAGTGAAAGAAATAAGGGGTATTAAAAAATAATAAAATTAGCAAAACAAAAGAAAATAAGTCAGCCCTAACATTTGAATAGGTAACAATTGCCGGCTGAGCATTACCTTCATGCATGCCAAGTACTGGGGGAGAGGGGAATGCTGGACTATCAGATGAACTTTAACTAGGGGAATCTATACTCAGCCATACCACTTGGGCCACGTTCTATAAGAATGCCATAGGTGAAAAAGTTGTGTGCATTTGAGAGTTCTATGGGCCTTGATCCTTGATTTCTTGTCCTTTAGACCCTCTGTTTTAAATTCTAGACATAACTCGTCTACTTGAGTTGCCCCAAGGCAGGTTCTGCCTTTCCAGGTCTTCTTTAATTCTGGATCTGAGGGCACATGACTGGCGATAGGTCTAGAAGTCCCAGACTTCTGACTCACCTCAAATTCACGGACAACTTTATCAAACAGGACTTGTCACAGTCTGGCCCTGCTGGAACCTGCCTAACCCTCTTCAGATCTTAAAGTGAAACTGACAATGAGGTAGATTGGCGAAGAAGCCTGAGGTGCTACCAGCCCTACCCCAGGCCACAGAAGCCTACTCACAAATTTGGGGAGGGAGAGCAGATTTGACTGATTGCTTTCTAAGGTGTTAGATGGATGTGAGCCTCTAGTCAACACAGGAGCCTTTTTAAACTTAAGTGTGTCCAGAACAATGATTATCATAGAAACGAAAATGGAGATGACTTAGTAGGAGTAGAGAGAGCCTCTGAGAGCCGGCCTCCTATAGCCAGAGTTCTCTAACCTCACTCCCCTCTCCTCTCCTGGCTCACATCCCAGAGGCTGCGGTGTCCCCAGCCTGCCCTCTGGCCTCCCACAGGTAGACAAATTGGCTGTTGGAGTTTTCTCCCCACGTGAGACATTGTGTTAATCACTTGATATAGGTCCTCACTTTAATTATTAGTTTCTCCCATTTTACAGATGAGCAAACATGAGACCCAGAGAGTAAATAACATAGCACTCACAGGCAAGCAGGGCCACACACCCCAGTGCATGGCCCCAGGTCTGAACCCCATCCTCTGTGGCCTTGCTGTTCAGAACACATAGACAGTCACACGCCAGCAAGGGCACATGAGTGGTGCAGAGGTAAAGATTTATGATGACATTTTTAGCACAGCATACCAGAACATAATTACGGAGAGGAGTGTGAATGTAGCTATCGTAGCTGGGAAGACCTTATTATACCGAGGAGGTCCACATTGTGTTTCCAGAAGCCTGGCTCCAACAGTGCCCTCCACCCCGCCCACAGGGAAGCTTATCCACTGACACTTCTGTCTTGTTTCAGTGTCTGAAGAAGTCACCCCTGCTGGGAGCCCTGTGGCCAGGCCAGACTCCACGGACGCAGCCAGTGGCCAGCCACCGCCAGATCAGACCAAGACAAGTTTCCCTGCTAGTGGTCCCGTGCCATCTGTCTTCTGTGTTGTTTTGTGATCAGGAGAAAAAGTGAACCTATGTGGCGCATTTCTTTTCATCAATGGCAGCGAAGAAAATTAACTTAGAATAATTTGGAAGTCCAAAATGTTTCCGATTGCATCTCTTTCTGCCAGGTTTGGGAAATGCTTTGTAGTCACGGGTCACGGCCAGCCACAAACGGGCTGGAGCTGTGTCTGTCCTAGATATTGACTTGGCCTGTGGGTCTGTTGCTGTTTGCTTGCTCTCAGCTCCACGGCTTCCCAATCCCTGCCTCTGAATCGGTGTCCTAGGGCCCATCTTCACAGGAAACCCTGACCGTGGGCTCCAGCTTGCCATTTAACTGGAAGTGGGAAGGGAAAGGAGGAGAAGCTGGAGAAGAGAGGTCCAGATCCTGCAGTTTCTAAACTGTTACCCACTATGACGGCGGGCTGGAGAAGGCACTGGGCTGGTGAGAGGAAGCTATTTTACTTTCCGGATGCTCCACACATCACCCTGGAGCCGCCATTTATCCTATTAAACACCGCTAGAGACGATCCTCCCAGTGTTGGGTGTGTTGTTACTTTTCTATTCTTTTTAAAACACCATGACCAAGGCGACTTTTAGAAGGGAGGGCTTATTGGAGTTTCCGGTACCAGAGATGTAAGAGTCCATCACCGGCACATGGGGGAGGAGGGCCATTCTCGTTCAAACCACCACCCTTGGGAAGCTTGACCAGGCTGATAAAAGGCCCACAGGGCTCCTCACACCTCCAATGCACCTTCATTTGGTCTGGAATCTTCTGTGGGTTGAGGCCCCAGAATCCAGGAGTGGTATGAACTCTTACTGAACCAATTAGCTCAGGGAAGGTCTATGTCCCTGCACACACTTGTATGTACATGCTGTGTTCTCATGGAAGCATCTGGTAGTCCGCCTCATGGTCACCAGCAGACCCGGGCTGTCCCTCCGATGAGAGACTTGCTGATGAACCGTGAATGATTTGCTCGCTGAACAGCATGACTCTAGGTCGAGCCCTTCCCAGAGCAGAAGGTTCCAGGGAACTTTCCGCTACAGCTACAGCTCAGCAGGATCATTTTACCCCATAACCCTGCCTTGTTTGGACCCCTCTTAGCTTCCACCACTTCAGGGCACCTGTCCCAGGCACGGCCTCTCCAGATGGTGGCAGATGGCTGGTCCTCAGACCGATGACTGACAGACTCATTGGCCTCTAGCCACGGAGGGAGGTGACAGTTTCCTAAATACGAAGTTGAAAACACTCTCCACTGCAGGGGCAGGGAGATCAAACCCCAGTTTCTAAGAGCCACAACACCCCACCCCTGCTCCCACTGTCCTGCATACCATGGCAGTCCTGGATGGCGGAGGCGAAGTTCTCGGGTACTGAGGAGGAGAGGGCAGCCTGCTGGGGTCCCTGTCTGTCGCTTTCTCCTCCAAGGGCCCTCTTTGTGCCCAGTAGATGCCAATTCCTGATGCTCCAGTAAGGTTTTGGTGTCTTATCTCTCTCCTGGGCTAAGACTTATTCACTCTTCCCAGGCTTCTGGCTTCCCTGTACCTTCTTAGTCTTTTTCTTTCACTTCCAACTTTTCCTTCAGCTCAAGTTGTGTGAGAGAGAAAAGGAGCCACTCGCTGGCTGCCTGGCTGAGGGGTGAGATCATTGTCGTCTGTCCGTTCCGCAGAGAGCCCGAGAAAGCAAGCGGAGGAACTTGTTCTCCGCAGAGGACCATCTGGCTGCGACAGACTCGCGCTAATCTGTAGCTTTCCTTTTCTTTATTCCTTTTGGTTTGTTCCCGGGAGCACTCCATCTGCAGCTGTACATTCAGACCTGGCCCCTAGGAAGGCAAGCGTTCATTTGGGGAACACGTGCTTACTCTCCCCACTCCCCTGCCTCTCGGATGTGTCAGGAAGCCATTCTTATCCCGGGTGGGTTTCTGTGGCCTCAGTGTCAGGGCTGCACTTTCAAATGGAAATCAGGCAATTATTCGTCACACAGAGAACCCTGACAGATGCAGAGGTTTGACACAACTGGCCCTGTCTGCGGGACCAAAGCACCTGGTGCTCCCCGAGGGACCATTAAATACATAGAATGTGTTCTGAGAGCACAGAAAAATTCAAGAATAATTAACTGTGTGATGAGCAATCGTAGATGCATGGCTGTTTAACCTCCAGACGTGATCATGATACATCAACCAACCGCCTGAGTCATCTTTAAAGGTGCCATTGAAACAGGAGGGAGGGGGCTGCTCTGAGGTTCTGCACGGTGCAGCCCAAAAAGTTTTGGAGGATTTGGAATCACTGTGTTTCCCATCATGGGGCTCCACTTGATGTGAGGTGGGGGGGGGGAAGAGACCAGCTTCAGGTCTGCTTCCAGTGGGGTCTAATAATGGCGCCCTCTAGAGATCTTGGTGAAACAGTACTATTGTGGCCCAGTCAAGAGCCCTTCTCCCTTCCCCAACCCCCAAAGTCCTGAGAGCCTATCACAGATCTGGTTATTAGCCACACTGCACAGACAGGAAACCGAGGCATGAACCGAAGAATTGGCCTTCAGACTTAGCCCTACTCAAGTCTGGTCTTAGCTCTGGGTCACCGGACGGAGCCTTATCTGTGTTGGAAGCAAGGTATGTACTCCCTGGCCCAGCAGCTCAGTTCAGATGTGTGCTGTCATGAACCAAACAGGAGAGACCTACATAAAAGTTACAATTTGATTTTCCACAGGAAATGCCCAGCTGTTAAATGAGACTGAAACATGAGTGAGGTTATATATAAAGTGTCCCAAGAGTAGATTTGTATTTTGTCACAGGCTAGAGTGTCCCCAGGCACTGGTCAGGGCTCCTGTTGGGTATGGAGGAAATGCTCAGAGGCTTTGAACTATTTGGCTTCAGCAGACTCTGGGTTCCCCCCGAGCTGTGACTTTGGATTACAAAAAGCCAGGCAGCTTAGAACCGATAAATATAGGGGATGCTGTATCTCTACAGAAAAGATAGGGGTTTTAAACAAACAGTACTTTTATTTATTCTTTGAGGATTTCATAATACATGTATAGTGCATTTTGATCATATTCACCCCCAGTCCCTCCTGAAAGTAATTTTTAAACTCCCCATATGATAAACAAAGCAGGCTTACACAGGGCTCTTCACTCCCTTTGCAAAGCTACAGACGTTATTTGAAGAACATGAAGCCCCATTTTAGTGAAATTATGTTCATCTAACAAAACTGGGCACATCAGGAACAAAGCACATTTGCAAATGGCAAATAGACAGACGCCACACACAACCGTCCCATCCTGATGTGTTTTCTTCTGTGAAATAGAGGGACCATGGAGGCCATTCAGTGTCATTAGGTGATGGGAAGCAGGACACTGCTCAGAGAGAAGCACTTGGGCCTTTCCCCTCTACTGAACATGCCTGTCTGAAAGTGTCACTGTAAGGTGCAAGCATCATTTGTTTTCCAATATTCTTACCATCTTGTTAGGCCTTAGGGAATGACACACCCATACACTATGCTCACATTTGGGCGGTCACATTGGTGAGACTCTGTGGGTGTAGCTTCTGAGATTCCTAGGAGACATGCTTTCAAAGCAAACTCTCTGATCCTCTGGCTCTTAGAATCCCATTTTCTGCAATGTTCCCTGAGGTGGGGGGTGTTTTGCAGATGCCTCCATTGGGACTTGGCTCCAGAACTCTCATTTATGGAGATTTTTGTTTGTTTGATTTTTCCATGGTCTCGATGTGTTGCAAAGAGAAGTTTCCTTGATAAGGTAACATGAATAAAGCAATCCCACACTAGGTCCAAATAGGCTATAGTAAGGAGCTCTTTATTAAAGGGGAACTCACAGATCACAATGGAAAACAGGAACAGAATCCAACATCCAGACGTGACTACCAGGAGAGAGAGAGCGAGAGAGAGCAAGTGGACCCACAAGCTTTTTAGTACCCAAGTCCATACCCAATCTAGTTCAGCCTCTCAAGGGCCATTGGCTGAAGGAGGTTCCCTATCACCTCCCCCTTAAGTCTAAATAAGAGAGTTTCAAACCCAATCCAAAACTATATAAATAAGAACAGATATCAAGGAAGGAAAGAGTAAAGACTTTCGAGGCAAGAGAAAATATTTTCTAACAATAAGTAAGCTGGTCACACAGTCTACTTTTAAGCTCTGTGTAAATAAGAACCATGGATGTAAAGACTTTAAATGTTTCATCTGAGTTGCTAGAGAGCTGAAGGGAGATTTTTAAAGTGTGTGGTCACAAAGAGACTGTGAAGTGCTACAGCGGGGTGGAAATATTGACTGTGAAGACAGTGTCCTGCTTACTACTTGTGCAGCTCTGACATTTTTCTGGACATCTTTTTTTCCATGGAGGAGTTTGGTCACAGCATCCTGAACAACGTATGCACAGTAGACAACTCAGGGCTGAGCTCACAGAGATGAGTCACTAATGCTGGGGTTGAACCCTGAGGGTATTTGACTTGGGGGAAAGCTGGGGGCCTTGAGATATATAGAAGAGAACTAACTTTTCTTAAGAAATGACATCATATCTGTGCACTAAGAACTTTTTATGTGCCATTATCCCTGGGAGATAAATACATTATCACTTCCTCACAGAAAATGAGGTTATAATACATAAAAATTTATTCAAGATGACAGAGCCAGAATTAAAATCCTGGCGCCTCTCTGGGTATAGATAATTGGATTCATTTGTTGACAAACATACAGAAGTGTGTAGGTCTGCCATCTGAAATCCATGGCAGCCTTTCCAGTCACTACTGGCCTCTGTCCCCTGACCACTACACCATTCTCAGGGTAATTATTTTATACCCTAAATCCAGGCCATGAGACCTGCAGTCAGCCAACTCAGAAGAGCGTTCTGAAAGCCACATGCCACGTGGGAGGTGTTTGCTTACTGAAACTTGAAAACAATAGTACCAAGGAAGCTAATTTTAAAAGTAGTCTTCAAAGGCCCAAGGAATCCTTACCCAGGCATCTGCTCAAACAAAGATCCTCCTCAGGCATGGTAGCAGGCGTCTGTGATCTCAGTGCTTTGATGGTTGAGGCAAGGACTGCCCTGAGAACGAGGCTAGCTTGAGCTACTTGGCTCCTTGGCAAGGCTTTGACCACACAAAAGCAACAACAACGATCACAAACAAAACAAAACAAAGCAAACAAGGAAACAAAAGCTCATTGGTTTCTGTTTATATTTTGAAACGATGTTGAGTTGTGGCTATTCATTGATGAATAGTCAGCTGATGAAACTAGTGCAGAAACCTTATATTTAAAAATAGTAAAACGCTCTTGCGAAGAGTCATCGCTGGGAAGCACTTTTGTCCTCAAATTTTCTTGGTCTTATAACTCTGTTGGCAGAGAGAAGTGGACACACAGGTGCCTTCCTGAGCCTTTGCATTAGCAGCACTTGTCTGGGTTCCGTTAGGTCATGACTCACCTCTGTCCCCTTGTCAACGGTGGAAAGCAATGTGTGGCTTTACAAGCGACACACCTTTCTTCACACTTGTGAAATCTCCTGACTTGGA